AAGTATAGTTTTTCTCTAACATTAAAATGAGGTTATAGCATATATCCTTTCTAGATCCTTTTTAGGTTTATATTGTGCTTAGCTTGGCATATTCTTGCTATCAGCAATAACAAGTTGATACAAGTGAAGCGTTCCCTAAGGATCAAACAGTTTCCCTAAATAGAGAGTTAAAAGTAACATGAAACAATAAACTTTTTAATGATATGGTCATATTACGTATCATATGCACTTTACAAAATATAGCTCTGCCAAATTGAAGAAAAAAATCAAACTGGAGGGGTTTTTTTTTCATTTGTGAGCAGCAGAGCTTTTCCCTTGAATTTTATTACGATGAGAACAATATATTTTGTTATAAAATACACTGCCGTTGGATTTGATACTCTTACTTAAGTTTAAATAATATGAGCACGTCCCAGCTGTTCATGATCCTATAAAATCCATCCATTGAAGCAATATTATTTTGTGCAGTTGAATACTTGTAGCATTTCCAAGAAAAGGAGAAATCTGTTGCTAGGCAACACACCAAATTCATGATTATAGCTTATCCCATATGTAAACCTTAAACCTTTGAGACACGCTAATGCTGCGTTCAAAACAGAATTAAATAATCGGTATAAGAAGACTCATTTTGAATCCCCTTTAATTTATGTTAATATTTGTGTTTTTGTCCCTTTTCAACCAGGGAAAATTATAATGGTTGATGATACTATTTTTCCCAGATTCCCTTTCCAAATAAATACTAAATGACCCAGGATATTCAGAGTTGATATAATGATGGTTAGTTAGAGATAAGAACGGCAAAACGTGTATGCTCAAAAAAAATGTTTGAGGCTTTCATGTTCATGAGTTAAAACTTGTGCATTTTAAGGCCAATGTATTCAGGAGAACAGAAAACCTTATTACTAATACATGTTTCTGTGCAGTCTGTGGCATTAAAGTTTTAATCCTACATTGTCTGCAATAATTTTAGCTCTCATTGTCCCCCAAACTTCCATCCCCATAATCCCCAACAATTCTTTATAATACATTTTCATTGCCCTTGGCAGTGAATGTTCTCAGGTGGCCTTGCAGGTAACCCACCCCCAGCTCTGGTAGCTGTTGGTATGCATCCTAACTCTAAAAATAACCTATCAATTTATAATTAGGAAATACACATTTTAGGTTGTTATACCATTTCCCTAAAAGAAGTGGTGTTGCTAGACCTGAGGCCTGTGTGTTTCTTGTCTTCTATTAAGAGCTCTTTGTACACCATTAAAATGGCTGCCGGTCCACTATTGGATGATGTCACTCAGCCGGTCCAGGCTCTGGAGAGATCTCAACTTTAAAGTCAGGATCCATCCATATTCCTGACCAGCAGCTAGGTCAGCCTCCCAGCCAGGGCCATCTTTAATATTGATTGGACCATGGGCAAACAATTTCTTGCCCCCCTCCCCTATGCATCTTCACTAGAGATGAGCGAATTATTCAAAAATTCGATTCGGCTGATTCGCCGAATTTGCGGGAGAAATTTGATTCAATGCAAATTTATTCACCGCGAATTTAACTTATTAAAAGGGTTTCTAGGCTTTGGAGAGCCTTTATATTAGTGCAGAACACTGTACCTTTAATTTAAATGCCCTTGGAGTCTGCTGGGGAAGAGAAATAATACTGTCAGTCAGTATGACATGCAGATGAGTGCCGTCGATCTTAGAATCACCGCACACTTCACTCATTTGGGCAGTCACGGGGCACGACGAAGAAGAAGAAGAAGAAGAAGAAGAAGAAGAAGAAGAAGAAGAATGAAAAGAAGAATGAAAAGAAGAAGAATGAAAAGAAGAAGAAGAAGAATGAAAAGAAGAAGAAGAAGAATGAAAAGAAGAATGAAAAGAAGAAGGAGAAGAATGAAAAGAAGAAGAAGAAGAATGAAAAGAAGAATGAAAAGAAGAAGAAGAAGAATGAAAAGAAGAATGAAAAGAAGAAGAAGAAGAAGAATGAAAAGAAGAATGAAAAGAAGAAGAAGAAGAATGAAAAGAAGAATGAAAAGAAGAAGAAGAAGAATGAAAAGAAGAAGAAGAGGAATGAAAAGAAGAATGAAAAGAAGAAGAAGAATGAAAAGAAGAAGAATGAAAAGAAGAATGAAAAGGAGAAGAAGAATGAAAAGAAGAAGAAGAAGAATGAAAAGAAGAATGAAAAGAAGAAGAAGAAGAATGAAAAGAAGAAGAATGAAAAGAAGAATGAAAAGAAGAAGAAGAAGAATGAAAAGAAGAAGAAGAAGAAGAATGAAAAGAAGAATGAAAAGAAGAATGAGAAGAATGAAAAGAAGAATGAAAAGAAGAAGAAGAATGAAAAGAAGAATGAGAAGAAGAATGAAAAGAAGAATGAGAAGAATGAAAAGAAGAAGAATGAAAAGAAGAAGAAGAAGAATGAAAAGAAGAAGAAGAATGAAAAGAAGAATGAAAAGAAGAAGAAGAAGAATGAAAAGAAGAAGAAGAAGAATGAAAAGAAGAATGAAAAGAAGAAGAAGAAGAATGAAAAGAAGAATGAAAAGAAGAAGAAGAAGAATGAAAAGAAGAATGAAAAGAAGAAGAAGAATGAAAAGAAGAAGAAGAAGAATGAAAAGAAGAATGAAAAGAAGAAGAAGTAGAATGAAAAGAAGAAGAAGAAGAATGAAAAGAAGAAGAAGAAGAAGAATGAAAAGAAGAAGAAGAAGAATGAAAAGAAGAATGAAAAGAAGAAGAAGAAGAATGAAAAGAAGAAGAAGAAGAATGAAAAGAAGAAGAAGAATGAAAAGAAGAAGAATTAAAGTACAGCAAAAAGTGTATCTGCAGAGAGCTCCGCTATTTCGACAGTTCTCTGACAGTTCCTTCACATTTACAGCGGTTGAAACATTGTATCTATTTATTTCCGAATAAAAACATCTGTATCCTAAATGGAAACAAATAGATACAATGTTTCAACCGCTGTAAATGAACTGTCAGAACTGTCAGAAATAGCGGAGCTCTCTGCAGTGACACTTTTGCCGGCTGATCGGGAAAAATTCGATTCGTGCACCCAAAGTTTGCTAAAATTCGGATTTGATGTGAATCTAATTTTTCCTGATATTCGAAACGAATTCCACTTCGCCAGGTTCGATTCGCTCATCTCTAATCTTCACTCTAACATTTCACAGGACCCCCCCCCTTCCCCAATACTACCCCCATCACTACACGTCATTACACATTTCTCCTCCATCATTATGCAGGACCCCTCCCCCATACCGTTCCCATTATTACAGAGGACTCCTCCATTATACTACCATCATCATTACACAGGATACCCCTCCCTCCATCATTACACAGGACCCCCTCCCCCATAATTACACAGGACCCACTTCCCTATTACTACTCCCGTCACTACACCTCACTACACCTTTGTCCTCCATCATTATGCAGGACCCCCCCCCCCCCCCACATACTGCTCCCATTATTACACAGGATCCATCCCTTATACTACCCCCATCATTACACAGGATACCCCCCTCCATCATTACACAGGACCCCTTCCCCCATACTACTCCCATAATTACACAGGACCCCCTTCCCCATACCACCCCCATCATTACACAGGGCCCCTTTCCCATAGTACCCTCATCATTGCACAGGACCTCCTCCCCTATACTACCTCCATCATTACACAGGATCCAATGCCTTCCCTCCACAGACCCCTGCATTGCCCCAACCCCAGTGGTCTCACTTTGATAGTTTCCAGAGGATGTCAGGCGAACACCAGGCACAGCCCGCTGAACCCTCCAGCAAAGAAGTTCTTCAGCAGGCCGATGGACTGCGGTTTGACGGACATGGTGAATGAGTGCCTGGAACTGACAGGCACTCTCCCCTGACAAAGTTTACTTTACTGAGCTGGCCAATCATCACACAGGCTGTAGACATAACACTTAACCAATAAACAGTGCCCTCAACATTCAATTCTGACCTTATTCCCTGAGTGATAGCCAAATCCACTTATCAACTTATTAGTGGGAAGCGTGAGCTCAAGGGGCAGCTCAGCTGCTTTAGGCCTTGCAACAATGACTGGGCCCGGGGCAGCAGCCCCTTTTGCCCTGTGTTAAAGACGGTCCTGCTCTCAGCGCAATGCTAAGCCTCTCAGAGAGCCTGAGTCAGCAGCTCATGCCCTTCCACAGCCCAGTGCTCCTGTGAGACCTGGAGGGGCAGAGCAGAGAGCCGGTGACTGACAGTCAGCTCTGCTCAATGAAGACCAAGAACTTTTATTTCGATCTCGGTCTTTGATCACTCAGTTCTTGGTCTTAGAGCAGGCAGGAGACAGCTGCAGCATTGGACCAATGCTGCATCCACCTCTGGGGAGTATGCGTGTTCCTTTTTTTTAATTCCCATATTTCTCTTTTAAGACAACAGAGCACAAAGAAAGGACACCCTGGTTCAAATTTGAAATCGACTTGATTTATCAGTTAAAAGCATCTGTGAGTCCAGGTTTAAATGAACATATCAATTTTATGTCACTCCTATCAGTCATTGTTAAATGTTGTTGGTACAATGAGTGCTGGTCTAGGTCTTTTTCTCTGATAATGGGGCCCAACATTTATGAACTTTTATACAATTGTTTTACATGCCATGTATGATTATGAAGAAATGTTTAAAAAAAAAAAGCAAAAACACATTTATGGTTTTTATGATACAATAGGGGAATTAATAAACAGCATTTGCGACAAAGACAAACTTTACCTCAACTTGAATGCAGCCAATCAGCTTTTAACCACAAGCCTACAGGGCACTTATACTCCCTTCCTGCCCAGGCCAATTTCCAGCTTTCAGCGCTGTCGCACTTTGAATGACAATTGCGCGGTCATGCAACACTGTACCTATATGAAATTTTTATAAATTTTTGTGACAGATAGAGCTTTATATTGGTGGTATTTAATCAACTCTGGGTTTTTTATTTTTTTCTTAAACAAACCAAAAACCACTGAAAATTTGGAAAAAAAAAATGTTTTTTTTCTTAGTTTTTTGTTATAAAATTTTGTAAATAAGTGATTTTTCTCCTTCACTGATGTGTGCTAATGAGGCTGCAGTGATGGGCACTGATGAGGAGGCACTGGTAGGTGGCACTGATGGGCATTGACAGGCATCACTGATGGGCACTGAAAGGCAGCACTGATACATGGCACTGATATATGGCACTGTTAGGCGGCACTGACTGGCACTGTTCGGCGGCACTGATGCGCACTGATAGCACTGTTCAACAAATTTTTATTTTTTGCCAGTTTTGGAAACAAAAGGATCCATTTCTTAATGAATTTCACATTCTGAGTTCAAATATAACAATGGAATTTATCAATTGGCTCTAGTTTTTCTGTAAACGGAAAGTTTTCTACTATAGGCGTAATGACTACATAATGCACAATAATTATATAGATAGATGTCTTTCCACAAATATAAAGCAAGTGATATTGACTACATAACAAAGCCTAAATGGCATAATATATTGCATAGGATTACCAAGAAAAATTATAGCCATAAGCTAAGTTGAATCATTTTAATACTTAGGATTCTCACTAGTTTTGTCTTCAGTTTGTGTCGGTTTTGCTTCTCTTGGCTTTTCTCTTGTATTCGAGGAAAGGGTTATCTCTTACAACTGCACGTGACTACACGCTTCAGGTTCTTCCTCACTTGACTCAACCACGAAGGATTCTGGTGCTTTAGGAATTGGTAGCCCCTCTCCATGAGGAACTGGATGTATTGCTGATGGAATATTTGGATAGTGCACAGATAACTTTTTCTTCTTATTTAGCCCTTTTACAATTGGAGGCACCATACAAAAGTAACAATTACTAACATGATCTGTTGGCTCTCTCCAAATCATTGGCACAGCAAAAGGCATAGATACCTTTTTTCCATTCAACCATTGCTCCAGTGCCGTCCCACAAGAATTGCAGCATATATGTGGTGCCCAGCTCTTGTCCTGGTCTCCTATCTTGCAGCCAAAATACAAGTTGTAGGCTTTCTTAATCATTCCTGTTATCCTCCTTTTTTGTGAGATAAAAGTTATTTCACCGCAGATATAGCAGAAATGATCTGCTTTATTCACACAAGTTCGAGGCATTACTGAGTAGCCTATATAAGCATAAAACGAAATGTAAAGACGCTGTCGAACTACAATCAGCTACAGATACTGCAGCTTTTATGCAGTGAAGTGATGCAATTAAAGGCTAATATTGCATCATCTCAGTATACATGCAATTTTCTATTGGTCACCAGTATCAATTGCGCAATATGCAGCTGAAGTTGCATCATAATTTTGAATGGCTTACGTCATTAGATGGGTGAATATATCATGGAAACTAGAGCCAATCAACATTTTTTAGGGTCATTTTCGTTTTCAGCACCCCAAAATTATGTAAGATTAGCTAATTTTATGCCCAAAACTTTTTACCTGTTGAACAGTGTAGGCGGCACTGACTGGCACTAATAGGCAGCACTGATAGGTGGCACTGATTGGCAGCACTGATAGGCGGCACTGATTGGCATTGATAGGTGGCACTGACTGGCACTGATGGGTGACACTGAAAGGCAGCTCAGATGGGCACTGATATGTGGCATTGATGTGCACTGGTAGGCACTGATATGTGGCATTGATGTGGCACTTGGCACGAGGCACTGATGGACACTGACAAGTGGCACTGCTGGGGCTACACTGATCATCAGGGCACACTGATCATCAGTGCCCTGATGAGCAGTGTACATGTCCTCCGCGGAAAGCCGATTACCGGCTCTCCTCTCCTCTCGAGCTGTCAGCGTGACAGCTCGAGAGGAGAGAAATGCCGATAACCGGCATTTCCCTGTTTACATGTGATCAGCTGTGATTGGACACAGCTGATCACATGACCAAGCCGACATCTTCTGCTCTTTCCGTGATCGGTGATCCGCTGTGTCCGAGGGACACAGCACACCACCGATCGCCGTGCTGCGCGCTCCCTGAACCGCGCATGCGCGGTGAGAATGGGAGGATGTCATATGACGTCCTCCCAGAACGAGAGAACCGCCTTGTGTCCATCATATTACTATATGGCGGGCGGGAGGTGGTTAAATTTTCATTTTCTAAGCTGGGTAGATAAAATTAAATATAGAAGCTCTAATTGATTCGCCAACAGGACCAGTCACAATAGAACTTGTCTCAGACACTTTTTATGAAAGTAGTATTAAAACCCAAAGCAAACATTTATTATATTGCAGCTTACCAATTCTTAGATAAGAAGTCTGCATTAGTTTCTTTTTTTAGGCTTTCTTTCCTCTATTTTCATCTGCTGATTCAGCCAGCATGTCTGCTTTTTCAGACGTTAAAGCTCTCCAGCAGAATGTATCAGTTTACATGCATGAGACCATCTATTTACCACTGACAGGGGTGAATAAAATGATCGGCTTTTATTTATCTATGTAAAACCTTTATCCCAAAACAAAAAATACTGTTTGCTGAAACTGATTATAAACTGTGATCTGGAGTTTGGCTTCAATTTGTTGTATTAAAATCTGCTGATATAACACTCCCATCTACGCCAGACTAACAATGCTGCTGTCTGCTGTGTCCTGTGCTCATTCCTCCAAAGTGGTGTCTAACTAATACAGGAGGTGTGCTAGTGGCCAGATCACCAGGTGAATTCAGAGGGGGAAAAAGCCAAAGAAAAGATGCAGCCACCACATCTAATGACCGGTAAGCTGCAGCATAAATACATATTTGGTTTGAGGTTTAATACCACTATAATTCCACACAATTGGTATTGTCTTGTGCTGAAAATTCAGAAAAAGTCCCATTGAATAAATAGAAAATGGAAGCCAGAATATGAAGAGTAATACAGTAGGAGCCAATGCTAAGCACAATAGTATCTGAACAGTGTTTTAAAACACTGCTTAAAAGCAATTCAGAAATACATTATTATTACTAGGGATGAGCTGAGTATTCAGCATGGACAAACATGACAGCTTCCTGCTATTAATGATTGATAAAGAAGCTGTGGGTGCCTTCACCCTCTGTGTCCAACAGCAACTACAGATGTTACCCAGCCCATTCACTCACATGGCTCAGGAATCAGAAGCAAGGATGGCTGCTCAGAAAACTGAGACCAGACTGTGAGATTTATTTACAGTGAAATAAAATGCATCCAGACATCAGCACACAAAAAAATAATGTGAACCAAAAACCTAGTAACTGCTGATGTGACTAATAACCTAACAAACAGAAAGCCTAAGAACTAACTATACACAGTACAATACATACACAATGGGGAAAACCCAAAAGCAGGGGGAAACTGGAGGTGCAGGGAGCAGATGGGAAGGGGGAAGCAATACTAGGATGAGGATCAAGGGGAAACAAATACAAGGCAGCAAAGTACAGGACAGAAACAAGAGGAGGATCTACACAAACAAAATCTGGAGGCAGCAGCAAAACACTGGAGCGAGGGGGACTAATAAGGGAGGACTACCGCTGGTGGAAACTGGAATTACAACCCTCTGTCAAGGGAACCACATTGCCACCAGCAGGTGATCCAGATCCTGACACCTTGACCACATAAGCAAAGGAGCAGGGATGGGGGAAGACTATAGCCATGGCCAAGGACTTGTCAAAAACTGTGTTTATGTGTTTTCTTGCTTTTTACTTTTTTTGGGAATGAGTAGGAGTACTATTTACCCCATACGCATTCACATAGGGGGGGGCCCTCTTATTCTTAACTGTGGCTTACAGATTCTGAAAAGCCTCTGCCCACAGACCCCACAACCACAGGCTAGGCTTGTGAGGAAGGGGATCTTTTCCTCATGAACATGGTGGTGGAACAGGGTGGTCTGCCCTGACAAGGTATCCCCCATGTTGAGGGCATGTGGCCTGATATGGTTGAGGGCGGGGGGGGGGGGGGGTCACATTCATCCCCCGCTTTTATTGCCTCTCAGGCTGCATACTTGGATAAAGGTCTTGTATGGATTTTTAGAAGACCTCACTTTTTTTTGTTGATATTTGCATGGGGTTTCTTCATTAGAATCCATACCAGACCCAAGGGTAAGGCTGGCCATACATTATACAATTATCTGCAGATTTTCTGCCCAATTTCCTTTAGATTTACCTTCAACTATGTAGTGCAGGGGCCTGCCTAATTGGATACAACAAAGTGTTGTTTAGGTTTGTCCTCCTATTATATGGTTTTTGGTAAATCTAAACCAAAAATCTGCAGATAATTGTATAATGTATGGCCAGCCCAAGGGGACCTCATGCCAGTTTTTTTTTTTTTTCGGCACCACATCCCACCAAGAGTAGTCAATTTAAAGAAAAACTGCACTTCACATGTAAGGTGAGGGCATCCCTCTACACATGTCATGTAATCGAGTTTTGTACTTTTAATGTTTCACCTTTTTTTTAAATTTTTTTTTCCTGTGGTATGTTTCTCAGGACAGTGCTTAGCCGCCCATGCCTTTTGTTTGAAAATCTCTTGCCTAATAGCCTAGAAAATTACCATTACTGCTAGCTTTGGTGAGCTGTGGAAGGGATCACTTCCACCAGAAAGCCCATCACCCTCCCTAAAAATGTAACCAAACTCCCAGCTGCTAGAGTGTGCTTAAAATCCCAGTCTACCAGGCGTTTATAAACAGCGCTTACAGACAAGTGGCTAGAGACAACTGACCATGATTGTAAAGTGATGGTTGATGACTTGGTCCTGAAGCAGCAGATGTTGTCCAAAATGCATCAGCATCATTGTGAATATTCTGGAGTGGACTTTACACAATTTACAATTACACAAGTTGTATTAACTGTGATGGTCAGTGATTGTATATTGTTTGTTAATGCACAAAGATATCTCATCCTTTTATTTAGAGTAGGCAGCTGTACATACATTTTTGTTTTTAGAAACCATGTTGTCAATAAACAGTTATGGCTTTTGTGTATATGGTCTTAAAGTGGTTGTAAAGCCTGAAGGTATGCAGCTCACCCAGCAGCGCCCCCAATACTTTCCCAAGCCTGATCATGATCCAGCTGTGTGCATGAGAGTGGCTGCTGTCCTGGCTCTCTGCCTCCTCATTGACTCCGAGACAGCAGCGGCAACCATTGGCTACTGCTGCTTGTTAATCACAGCCAGTGACGAGGGAGCGGGGGCATGGCCTAGCACCATTCTTAGTGTCTTATGGACACACAGAGCGGGGTTAGGAAGCAAGCATGCACAAATGTCCTGCTCTGGGGGCACATGGTGGGGGAGGAACCCAGAGTGCCAGCAGGTGACCTGAGAATGCAAAACCCTTTCACAGAGCAGGTAAGTATAACGTGTTTGTTATAAAATAATGATAATAAACCTTTAACCACTTGCCTACCAGGCACTTATACCCCCTTATTTACCAGGCCAATTTTCAGCTTTCAGCGCTGCCGCACTTTGATTGACAATTGCGCGGTCATGCAACATTGTACCCATATGAAATTTTGATCATTTTTTTCTCACAAATAGAGCTTTCTTTTGGTGGTATGTAATCGCCACTGGGCGCTTTAGTTTTTGCGCTATAAATAAAAAAACGCAAAAAATTTGAAAAAAAAAAAAATTTCTTTGTTTCTATTATAAAATTTTTCAAACAGGTAATTTTTCTCCTTCACTGATGTGCGTTGATGAGGCAGCACTGATGGGCACTGATAGGCAGCACTGATGGGCACTGATAGGCAGCACTAAAGGGCACTGATAGGCAGTACTAATGAGGTGTCACGGATAGGCGGCACTGATAGACAGCACTAATGAGGTGTCACGGATAGGCGGCACTAATATGCAGCACTGATAGGCGGCACTGATAGGTGACACTGATGATGGGTACTGATAGACGGCACTGACTGGCATCACTGCTGGGCACTGACTGGCGGCACTGATTGGCACAACCGCTGGGCACTGACTGGTGGCACTGACTGGCAGCACTGCTGGGCTGCACTGGTGGGTGGCACTGGTGGGCAGCACTGGTGGGTGGGCACAGGTGGGTGGCACTGGTGGGCACAGGTGGGTGGCACTGCTGGGCACAGGTAGGTGGCACTTCTGGGTACAGGTGTGTGACACTGCAGAGTGGCACAGGTGGGTGCACTGCTGGGCACAGGTGGGCGGAGCTAGTGGGCACACTGCTGGGCACAGGTGGGCGGAACTTGCGGGTGGCACTGCTGGGCACCGATCATCAAGGCAATGATCATCAGTGCCCTGATGATCGGTGCCGATCCTCGCTCTGACAACTGCCGGTTCTCGGCAGTACTTTCCTCACGATCTGACAGCGTGAGGAAAGTGCAGCCGAGAACCGCCACTTGCATTTCCCTGTGATCAGCGTGTCATTGGACACCACTGATTACGTAGTAAAAGGCCGCTGTGATTAGCCTTTTACCACATCACGTGATCAGCTGTGTCCGTAGGACACAGCGATCACGGAGATCGCCGCAGTGCAGCCGTCATTCGGCTATCTGCGGTCGGCAACTAGTTAATGTCACTTCAAGAGCTGAAAATTAAAGTCCTATTCATTTGCTCAATATATAGATTTTGTAAAATGGGTTGTCAGTACCTGACCAATCACTTTAAATGGTTAAAATACACTGCTCAAAAAAATCAAAGGAACACTTCGAAAACACATCAGATCTCAATGGGG